TCTATTTTGCAGTATGTCATTGACGTCAGCAATGCCTGTATACCTTGTACATGTACTTGTAGATATGAGGATATTATTATTATTATTATTATTAAACCTTCCATGATGTTTTGGCTTGTCTTTTGCGCTTTTATACTTTTATACTAGATTTTTTTTATGGAAGAAAAACTTTTATGAAGTCATTCAGTATACGGTCTCTCTCTCTGTTTTTCCTGTTTGATCTCCATGAGTCTCATAGAATACTGTTTAATCTACGTGAGACTCTCATAGATTATTGTTTAATCTCCGAGAGTCTCTCATAGATTACTGTTTAATCTCCGTGAGTCTCTCATAGATTACTGTTTAATCTCCGTGAGTCTGTCATAGATTACTATATAGCTCATGAGACAGGATATTCTAACTCCGCGCTCTTGCCCTGAGATGAATCCGGTTCTCAGAAGTTGCTCTACAAGTCTTTCTTATAATTTTTTTTTCTCTATTTGCATGGAATACGTGTCAGGAGATATAAGCTGTAGTTTAATACTATACAAATGCCTCCCTTTACTTTAGTACTGAAGTAATATTAGGTGCTTTCCAGAAGGTCAGGAGATTCCTTTTCTCTCGATTTGTTCAGGCTTTGGGCTGGTGGTTTGCTCAGTGATCAGTGTTGTCTCTCCTGCTCTCAGTATCAGCGGAGAAATAATGTTATCCGCTTGTCGAACCTCCACCGCCTCTTGTGTTGGGTGATCTACATGAGTTTAGTGCTTAACATGAATTGTAATTAATAATAAATCTCCGTTTGTCTTTAATGTGTCCAGTAGTGTGTATGTTACCGTTTGTCTGTGGCACTTGTCGATAGACACTTTTCGTGTGTGTACTCATCTAGTTGTACTCACCTAGTTGAGGTTGCAGGGGTCGAGTCCAAGCTCCTGGCCCCAACTCTTCACTGGTTGCTACTAGGTCACTCTCCTTGAACCGTGAGCTTTGTGTGTGTGTGTGTGTGTGTGTGTGTGTGTGTGTGTGTGTGTGTGTGTGTGTGTGTGTGTGTGTGTGTATGTGTGTGTGTGTGTGTAGTTAGTATGTGTTTGCGTTCCCTTGTCCGCGTGTGTGTATACATATGCATGTATGTATGTATGTATCTGTATGTATGCGTGCGCGTATGTGCGTGTATGCGCGCGCGCGCGTTAGTGCATGCTCCGGGTCAAACACTATGATCCGCTGGGCCAAGAATGTCTCCCGCGGGCAGTACATCTTCCTACCCAACTGGTATTCCTCCCACACCACCCCTCCCCCTCATATACCCTCCCCACACACAAACCCTCCCCTTAACCAACCCTCCCCCATCACCACCCCTCCTAACACCTACCCACCCCACTCATACCCTCCCAACTCGTGCTTGGTACCTCCATACCTCTTTCCTACTCATTACTGTTACCACTCTCTCCCCTCATACATATTACGCCCGTATCCTTTCCCACCAGAAACCTCGGTATATCCCATTCTTTAATTTTATTACTGTCTTAATCCATAGTTTTTGTCATTTTCCGCTCTTCTCGTACATTAATATTAAACCCAAATGTTTTCTCGTTAACCCTTCCAAGGCTTAGTTTCTTGGCATTTTCTGCATGCAAATGCTCTTGCGCTACCGTCCGTAGGAGGGATATTGCGTGAACAATAAACTAGCCGCATTGGCGGCAAGAAAATCTAACCACGTCTCTAATAGCACGGTATTAGTGCGTTACTCAGTGTTGGTAGGTTCGTGAAGAGTGGTGACGACAAGGAGCCAAGACTCGAGAGTAACCATGAGTGCACTTGGCAAAAATCGTAATAACACGATAGTAAACAAATCGGGGGAAAGGAAGAGGATCTGAAACCAATGCAAACCAGTTCTAAAACTAGCAGGTTAATGCTCTAATCACTTGGCTAATACTGAGTTCATATATATATATATATATATATATATATATATATATATATATATATATATATATATATATATATATATATATTATATATATATATATATATTATAATGTCGTGCCGAATATGTAAAACTGGTCAATTAGCAAGAACTCATTTAAAATTAAGTCCTTTCTGAAATTTTCTTTTGTACGTCTAAAGATATATTTTTTTCATTATTGCTAATGTAAAAAAATTTAATTTTGCACCAAAAGAATCTTAGAAAACTTACCTAACCTTATTATAACAAGATCAATTTATTTTAGCCTAACCCAACTAAATATATTTTAGATTTGTTACAATAATTTAATACTAAACAAACACAGTGAAATATAATTTTTTCGTTAGGTTCAGAATGATTTTGGCGAAATTGTTGCATACACAAATTTTCACTTGTCCTATATGGCAAGATGAACGTTGCTATTTAAGCCAAGATCGCAAGTTCTGCCTATTCGGCACGACATGTATATATAATGTCGTGCCGAATAGCTAAAACTTGCTATTTTGGCTTAATTAGCAACGCTCTTCTTGCCGAATAAGGCAAGCGAAAATTTGTGTATACAATAATTTCGAATAAAAATTTTTCTGAACCTAACGAAAAAATATATTTGAATATATTTAGTTGGATTAGACTAAATTAAATTGCTCTTGTTATAATAAGGTTAAGTGAGTTTTCTAATTTTTTTTTTTGTACAAAATTATTAATTTTTACATTAACATAAATGGAAAAATGTATCTTTAAACGTATCAGGGAACATTTTAGAAACGTCATGATTTTAAACGAGTTCCTGCTAATTAACTGACCAATTTTTACCTATCGGCACTATATATATATATATATATATATATATATATATATATATATATATAATATATATATATATATATATATATATAATATATATATATATATATATATATGAGACACAGTAAGTAAGGAATGGGAGGTAAATAGATTGTACCTGTTGAAGGGAATTTAGACCATATTCCTTAGATAGCCTCTTACCAACATCAAGACACCTCCTCTGAAGGGAAAGAAAAGTAGTATCTTCAGAATAACACTGTATACCACTTGATGCACAGTCATTAGTACAGATTCACATCATACAAACGCCTCCACTGACTGACATCCTCACTTGCAAACCAATGAAGGTTTTACAAGGACTGAGCCGCTTGACAAACATGTATATTAAACTTATCTAACCTAAGTACTATTGTTTTATCTCCATAAACAATATGTAATGTGAAGATCAATGAATGCAATTCCTTCGTTAGTTTTGCTCACCTTGGATATGGACACCACAAGGGACTTTTCTTGTTTTTTTTTATTTGCAGAGGAGAAGCACAAATATATTTACAGTAATATAGCTGGAATTTGAGCAACAGGTTAAATAGCTATATAAGAAAAAAGGTTAATCCAATTTACGAGTGAGAAGGGTTGGACATGAGACGGCTCCACCTAACATGGGCCAGTGGACCTAACGTAGTGTTCCTTGATTTTTCTGTCTACACTGGAGATCCAACGGTTGCTTGAGTGGTTCTAGATTCGTGCTATACGTGTTCAGAGTGTTTACGGGTGTACATGGAACTCAAGGGAGAGGGTGGGGAAACAGGTTTTTCCTCGTATTCTCTTTGTTGCAAATCAAGGTCACTCTTTGTTGCATAAGAGGACTACTCTGTTTTAAGTGAGGATTAGCCTCTTAACTGTAGATGAACGGCAATAATTTGTTTGTAAAACAACGTTTATGGCTTGGTTGAAAATCAGGGTCACAACTTGAAATCAAGCTTAATCAGCTGTAAATCAAGGTTACTACTTGAAAAATAAAGGCTACATGTAAATCAAGATTAATTACTTAGCTTAAAATAAAGATACATGTAAATCAAGGTTAATTAATTATAAGTCGATGTCACACCTTACTAGAATATCAAGGTTAATTACTTAACTGTAAATTATGGTTTTTCAGTAGGTCGCTGATATTAGCCATCCTCGAGTAACGACGAAAGGAAATATTAATTCAGTCGTATAATGAACACATTAGTTATTCTGTGTGCGATTCTTCTCTCAGTTACCATCAACCTCTGCTAAATGACAAACTGACAAATCTACCCATTTCTCTCTTCCTCCTCGACAGCGCACGCACACACACACACACACACACTCACACACACACAATGGTAATTAACCAACACACACACACACACACACACACACATATATATTTAATATATATATATATCATAAAATATATAAATATAATTATATATATATATATAATATATATATATATATATATATATATATATATATATATATTATATATGTCGTCCCGAATAGGCAGAACTTGCGATCTTGGCTTAAATAGCAACGCTCATCTTGCCATATAGGACAAGTGAAAATTTGTGTATGCAATAATTTCGCCAAAATCGTTCTTAACCTAACGAAAAAAATATATTTCACTGTGTTTGTTTAGTATTAAATTATTGTAAACAAATCTGAAATATATTTAGTTGGGTTAGGCTAAAATAAATTGTTCTTGTTATAATAAGGTTAGGTAAGTTTTCTAAGTTCTTTTTGGTGCAAAATTATAATTTTTTACATCAACATTAATGAAAAAAAATATATCTTTAAACGTATAAGAGAAAATTATAGAATGGACTTAATTTTAAATGAGTTCTTGCTAATTGACCAGTTTTACATATTCGGCACGACATATATATATATATATATATATATATATATATATATATATATATATATATATATATATATATATATATATATATCTGTGTGTGTGTGTCTTGATTAAACACATCAACTGCAGGCTGAGAGACTGATTACCTCAAACTCCTCATCTTCCAACTTTTTCTGCATTGGACTGAAGAAGTCACTGTGTGGACGAAATGTTTCCAGAATAAAGATATCCAGATGTTGCACAAGTTTCTCATTTATCAACTTGTCGGTATTGTAAAGCATTTATTCACGTCACATGATCGTATATATTATACGCGTTTTCCACGCTCTCTCTTTTCCACTCATTTTTTCGTCCATTGTGTTCCCACAGCGATATCTACTGTCACGGCGAGCTGCTCAAGACGGTGCAGTTGGCTCACATCTACAATGACTCGAAGTACTTCGTGGACATGACCCTCAAGTTCCCTCCCAGCCAGGTAACAGGGGCCTTCGAAACTCTCATGAATAACACCAAGAACAACCCATCGCAGACACAGGTCAGTATATAATAATTAACTTCTGCATGGAAGTAAATCTTAACACTATTATTATTATTATGTGAGTTGAAGAAGAGACACAAGTGTAGAGGAAACTTTATCGTGAGAGAGTTTCGCTCTCTGTAGAGCTTTATCAGGTCTCATTGACTTCGAGCTCTTAGCATCGAAAAGTTGTCATAATATAAGGTTGCTCTGTACCTGTGTCTATCAGTATCTGCAGTACTCCTTTTAAACTCATTTGTGAAATGTTCCAGTCACGGCATTGTGACTTTTATTCTTATTTATTACAATTCGTCAAAAGACATAAAATTAATTATACCATTTAATAGGCAATATAAGAGAAAATGTGTGCAGTACAAGCTATACTAATATGGCCAATAAAATTACATACGTTGAGAGGATTAAGAAAATCAGATGGCCAGTGAAACTGAAAAAAGTCGGTGAAGAGCTCTTGAGCAGAGCAATTGGAGAACATCTACATTACCTTAAACCAAGTCTAAGTGCTACCCATTTCACAGGCGCTGTGACCCACAACTGGTTTAGCGCTTCCTAAAGAATATGATAAGTGGATTTTTATTGAATCCGGTAAAGGAAATGCGTTTCTGATGATTATCATATTCACGAGGAAGCGCTAGACCAGTAGGGTTCATGCTGTTAAATGATGTAAATAAATTAATTTTGAAACGTTATTTCTTCTTTTTGATTCTAAGTTATGGAAATACACAAAATAAACCTCTTCGGAAATTAATTTTAGCTATTATTATTATTATAAAAAAGAACGCTAAGCCACGTGCTATACAGCGTAATTTAGCTAGCTGTAGCAGTTCTGTTAGTTAGTTAGTTAAAGATTAGCCGGTATTCTCCCGGCCCGGGCCTTGTCCAAGTGGTGGCCCGGCCTTGGCTCCCTCTTTAGGGAGTGTCTGAGACCTAAGTCTCCCATAGGATGCAATCAAGTACCTCCTCCTTTGGGACCAACTGTCCCCAGGCCTAGCCAAGCTAGGCCTCTCCGGTCTGCCATCCCCCCCAATGGGGGCTTATATAAATTGACAGTCTTATGAGCTAAAGGCTCGGGCTCAGGCACCTACCCTACCCTAGAAGGGTTAGGCATGGTGTCGATCTGTGCAGTTCTGTCTTCAGATGTGTGTGTAGCCGGGTGAGAACCAGATATTCTATGACCCAGTCAAGATTAAGCTATAATAATAATAATAATAATAATAATAATAATAATAATAATAATAATAATAATAATAATTAAAATCTGGTAATATAGCATTCCTAAATTTTATAAAGTAGACCATTAACTAATATTTTCAACTTTTCAAGGTGATCACCTTGAACAGCACTCCTTTGAATCCAACCTGATTACCCCCAGTTCCCCATATGCTGCATCATCTTCACGGAGCTAGTGGTTCCTGGTATTTTATTTTGGCTCTCATTATAAAGTTTATTTTCAATGACACTTCGGCTCTTGGAAAGGATGTTTCAGAATTCGGAATTGAGGACTGCGCAACTGCGAGCTGCTTTGATGTGCGCTCCACGTCCATAAACCCTTCGTTAGACGGAACTTAGTGTGTGTTTCGATGAGATTTTTCAATCTTCTGATACAGTTTGTGAGATTAATTTCAGTCAATTATGGGTTCGAACTACGCATTGCTGACAGCAGTGAAGATGAGAGACGACTTGCTGGACAACCTTATTTTACTGGGACACAAATATGTTCTCTAGAGCTTGATGAAGCCTGACGCAGAGCAGAATGTTCTCCCTGTGAAATTTTGTATTGCAACGAGTCTTTTTTTTCGCTAAATCAGTCATGGCGATTGCTGAATCTTGCATTCAAAGTTTTTCTTCTTTAACTGAGGCTTAGCTAATTTGATGGTGTGAGTAGAAGTAATCCTTCAAGTCTCAATTTTAGCAACATAATTGTATATTTTTCCAGACGAACGATATTTGGGTGATTGAGGTCTTGAACTGAACCATTTGATCATAGTTACATAGCTGGCTTTTTTTTTAAATCACAATGGAAAGTTCTTTTATTTTTCTACTAATTGAATTCTTATACTAGGTATTAGTTTTCTCGGAAAATAAATAAAAGATTATTAATTTTTGGGTTGTAATAAAGGAATTAAAATTAATTTTAGCATCTCGTCCGTAAGCAGGGCAATTTTTCAAAATTTGCCTTGTTTCCCTCTTTCTTTCCCAATAATATTAAATATAATTATATTTTTCATTTCACTATAAGCTTTCCCTGTATAAAATTTTACATACGAGGTCCAGGCCCGAGGAACATGGTATTTAATAACACTTCCACATAAATCTGATTAACACGCAATGGAAATTTTCAAGCAACTTTGCCAAAGATGGTATGGAACCAGAAAGGTTAATAAATAAAAACGTGAGTGAAACACTGTGACTTTTTTTGGGAAACGTATTGCTGGGTTGTTCCCAAATTTAATACAGAGACTGAAAAACAAGAAATTAAATGGGGAGAAAAAGGCCGGATGTAGATGCGTGAGTGGCATGGGACTCAAAGAGAGAGAGGAAAAGGAAAGTATTGATCGCGTGTTTGCGGAGTAATATAACGACGATGGACGAGAAAGACTTAACAGATTGTGAATGCTGTTCTGTGTGGGCAGTCAACGCGCACACGCTAGGTATTTTCTCCTTTGCATAATAAATGTTCTAAGGCTGCACCTGTGTATCATTTATTATGGATTAAAATATCTTGTAGCTTCAGACGTAAACTGTTTATCGATTTGTACCTCAGGTTAATGTATTTAAAAAACATAATATTAACATTTTTTTAAAGTAGATCTTAAAGTTTTGAAACCTTTGTAGACAAATATACGTGTAAGCAATGGATAGTTAATTTTTCGTGAAGCTAGGAAACCCCTAAATACAGGGATTTATGAACACAAGGAGTTAGCGAATCGTACTATCCACCAGTTACTTAACCAGCCTCTTCACGGGAGGCTCCTTGATGCTAGTGAAGGGCTCTTGATCTATGGAATTGGATCTATCCTCCCTTTCTTGCATCAAGGGTGACTACCACCCACTCACAGGCGCTTTATGACCCCTAAGAATTAAGTGCTTCTCTGTGATAATGATATTAAAAAATAAATCAGCTTTTATCGTAAACAGGGAGAAGTCCAGCTCACTGGATCTTCCTATAGTTGAGTTACTTAGAGCTCTGTTAGTGAGTTTCTCCTGGCACACTTGTACACACCAACACTGACAGTTGTGTAGATTAATGGTTCAGAAAAGCGAAAAGCTGATAAATTAGACACATATGAAACACACATACAGACACAGACACAGACACACAGACAACACAACAGACACACAACACACAAAGACGCAAAACCTCACCAGAAGAAAGACACAATAACAGACAACCAAGACACCACAACAAAACCCAGCAACTCAACCACACACACAACCAAAAATCACAAACACACACCACACCCATAAAAACAGCACAAAACCACAAAACACGAAGAAACAAAAAACAACACATACTTATTCCTTTGTCAAGGGAAAATTGGTGTCTCAGGTTCAAGTGTGTTTAAAATACTCTGGATAAATTAACAGGATTTTTTAATAAAAAAAATTTTGGGATTAATTTTAAACAAAAATTTAAAAAATTTGAGTCCTCAAAGGGGGCCCTTCCCTAAAGGGGGCCCAACTTTTAATTAACCCCCAGAAAATACCCCTAAACCCCCCCCCCCATTTTTTTACCTTTATTTAAAATTTTAAAATTTATTAAAATGTTTTAAAATTTAAAATTTCTCCTTGCTTTCTCTCCCCCCAGAAAATCGTTAGTTTTTTCCTTTCAAGTCCTCCTCAACCTGAAGTAGTAGTTTCTGGTATTCTACCGTGTTAGCCTCCATCATATATGTCCTCACCTTCGTATATATTCTATGTTTAGCAATCCTGTACATCGTAATCATCTCCTGGTTCTCTCCTCCGATGGTGTATCGTTTAGTTCCTTCGTAGGGTTTTCTCTGAACCAGGAGACTAGTTTCGTTACGCATTTTTGGAAATTATCTAGTTTCTAGACATGCTGCATATTCTATAATGGGTCTGTTGAGGTACCTTACTGACGTTCTTAAAGTTTGCCAGGTGTGTGCACGCTCTTTTAGATATTTAGGGACATGCTTAGTGTTATAGTTATCTAGACTAGCCCTACATCCATATCTTAGGTTTTCATCCTCGGTTCCTCCAGTCTGCATTCGGATTCGATCTTGTCTCCTTCCCCGATTTTCGTACCCTTATTCTTTCCAGGGTTAGAGATCAATGACGACTTTACCATTCGTGCAGTCTGTTCAGGTACTGGGCAACATCTGGGTATCTATACTTTGTAGACGTTCAGGTACTCTCATGTTGCTTTTCCCGGCCATCTGTACTGTTCTCATCATTATCTTTACGTCGTCCGCGAGCATGGACTCGCAGGACTATCTCGCCAGGCATCAGGCGTGTCGTGTACGGAGCTCAGGAACAGTAATGACAACAGTACGAAATCGTCTCTAAGAGTTTTAAAAGTGAATACATTGTCTTGTTTTCGATTTTTTTTAGTTGTAAACGTATATTGAAATATTATTCTAATATAACAGCGTTTTTTTTTCACAGTGAAAATCATTGTGTGCATGTTCGCTCGTGTGTGAGCGAGTGCGCGTACTTTAAGATTCTCTACTTCTCTGCTTCTTCAACTGGCCGCTACTGGGTTCCCACACTCTGGCGTCGTAACCCCTGTCATGTATTTTTCTTAAGGCTGTGAATAGATTCTGCCTCTATAACTTCACTGTCTAGGTCATTCCTCTTCCTGATCACTCTGAAGCTGACAAAATACTTCTTAACATCCGCTGTGTTTTTAACTTCTGAATGATCCCTGTCCACCCTACTCATTTTTGAGTATTTTGTACATAGTCTTTCTTGGTCCTTTTGTCCTTTAATTTCGTGAGCTTTAACTTCTACAGTGTTTCCTTTCATCTCGTACCCATTAG